CACCCTTCGACCCACTTCGGACGTTCGCTGCTACCATCCCTCCCACAAGTGGTGACCACCGCAGGGGGTAAGTACAGTGGTTTTCCGTAAAGGGCTGACACCCTGGCTAGCTCATCGTCGACGTCGATTCCTCAACCAACGACTCAGCGCGGCCGTCGACGGCTCGATATACAGCGCTCGGATCGTCAGACTCGGTCCATGACTGCGTCGCAACCAGGGTCTCCAAATCGGCAACGTTCGCACACCAATCCTCAAACCGATCCGAACATAGCAGCATTACAACAAGCACAGCAACAACTACTTGCAGCAAGAATGTCGACGATAACAATGGTTCCGATGCCATTACGAGGGTCGAAGTATGCCCCGCGATTCAGAGGTAAGCAATTGGAGACGTTCCTGATTGATTTCGAGAAGTTAGCGAAGCGTGCGGGCCTCAAGGAAGAAGAACTGCCTACAGAAGTCCTGACGTACTGCTCGTCATCGGTCCGCGACCTCTTGCGAAAGAACGCGGCGTTCAAAGGTAACGATTGGAACGCAGCAAAGAAGGTCATGCGACTCTTCTATAGAGACAAGAGCGACGAACAGGTAACAGTATTGGGCTTACGAGAGTTCTCTGAGCGCATGCGGCGAAAACAGAAGGTAGGTACAAGCCGCGCCCTAGATGAATACGCGATCGCGTTCGGTAAGCGTATGGGGGACCTGGTCTCGCAAGGGCAACTGACAGAGAAGGAGAGAGACGTACTGTTTTATAGGGGTCTAGGTAAGAATGTGCGCGCAGGGATCCGGAGCGCTCTCGAACAGATCAAAGGAGGAAGACCTCTGATCGTGGACCCCCCGTCAATGGAAGAAGTGTTGAAAGCGGCGCAAGACCTTTTCAATGTACTAAACATCGACTACGATCCGAGTTCAGGAGAGAACGAGTGGGATAGTGATACTGATAGCGACGAAGGTAAGTCAGATAGTGAGGGGTCTGATACCTCAGAGTCGACAGGAGGTCGACACAAGAACAAGCGAAAGAAGACGAGGGTGGTGAAGGTAAAGACCGAGCAAAAGGGGACGACGATACCAGATACAGGTGCCCTGGTCGAGCAGGTAACAAGACTGTCCGAACAAATACGACAAATGGCTCTTGCCGTTGGGCAAGGTACGTCGCATGGCGTGAATGCTGGACTAACAAACATGCCTCCTAGCTTCTCGGAAGGTGGTCGCTATTGCTGGGGGTGTGGTAAGAAGGAAGGCGTTGATCTAGATCACGCACTGAACATCAAAAAGTGTCCCCAGACCATCGATTTGCTGCGTGAGGGTCTCGTCAAATTTGCATCAGAGAGTGGACGCTTGGTACGTATGGATGGGTCCCCTCTTCCCCAGGCGAATGGATTACCAGGCGGGTTTGCTGCTATCATTCGAAGGGAGTATAGAGAGTGGAGAGGTAAGGAGCGCGACGTACCGCCTCACCAAACAGGAAAGCCGGCGAATGTGTTCACTATGGGTTTGATGCGCAACGAGGAGCGCGTCTTACAGGGTAATGTATTCGCAGCTTCTTCCGAAGAGGTATACTCCTTTCCAGTGCAAACACGTGCGCAACTGAAGAAAGGTGGGAACGTGCCCGCTACTGATGAGTTACAGAAGTCGGTCCGGTTCGAGTTTGAACATAGGACGGAAGGCGGCAACACGACGACGCCAGAGGTCACAGTACGTGCGCCTGCGACTCCGACAAAGTTGACGCCGTTAAAGGGAGTGGTACCGTCAATGACCGAGGTAATGCCCCATAGAAGCAACACCGAATCTGGCTGGCGCGAGCGTGAACGTCTCAAGCGAGAAGGGCGTCAGAACACGAGCGATGCAGAGAGGAGTAGGTTCAGTAAGTACTCACAGTTCAGGTTCACTTCCGAGATACAGGAAGGACTGTCGATCGAGGGGGTGCAAGACAAAATACTAGAGACACCGGTGACTTTGCCCCTGCGCGAAATCCTGGGGATGGCACCCGAGCTTCAAAAGAGGTTTGCGGTACTGACTAGGACGAGGAAGGAAGCAGCGTCACGGAGTGTCGAGGCTATAGAGACTGGCGAACAAGGGATGGAGGACGACGCGCGGACAAGCTACGATGAAGACCCAGGGAGTGCGATGTTGGAGTACACGACAGCCGAAGAACTGTATGGCTTGCTGGAAAGGTACGCTGGGGCCGTCGCTATTGGGTCAAAGAGGTTCTACGCTATGGCATGTGGGTTCCTACATGGGAAATTCGGAACAGAACAGGTGACGTTCCTAGTTGATTCCGGGTCGGAGCTAAATTTGATTACACGCCGTATTTGGGAGCAAGCTGGCGTGGATATGGATGAAGACGGGTCACGTTGGTCTCTGAAAGGGATCAACGGAGATCCGGTGCCCTTACTCGGCTGCTGTCGTGACGCGCCTGTCGAAATAGGTGGGAAGCGATTTGACCATCATTTCTTTGTCAGCAACAGGGAGTTTGGCAACTACAACGGTATTCTAGGGCAACCGTGGTTGCAATGGAACTCGACACAGGTAGAGTATACGCGTGGGGGACAAGTTGACATCGTTGTTTACCCTACAGGAGACAAGTCAGGCGAGAAGGTCAAGCTGAAGATACTAGGAACATCGCATCCTCGGAATTCGGAACGACTGGTCATGGAAAAGCCTCCGAAGCAGCAACTAGTCGCGACCATCGAGGAGGTGTCCGACCAGGGTTTCTAGACCAGGACGTGCACGCCAAGCCGCCCTTTCGACAAGGGAGCACGTCCGGTAACATTCCTCGGCTTGGACGAACATTGTATGCAATGATAGGTGATGTAGCTAAAGTTTCCTTGACAGAGATAGAACGATTGGTTCAGTATGACCCTCCCGAAGTTTATGATTCACTACTTTGCTCTGCGCTAGCTGTTTCGTCTCCGGGATCAATCCCGATTCAGAGTCCATGGATCAAGAGAGTTTCGATTAGACAAGATGCTGCCGTTGCAGCAGGAAAACGTTACAAACCAGTAGATCAGAAGGTACGTCCAGTGCCTACGTATATGCCTAATCCATCAGCACAGAAATTCAAAACTATCAACGTATCGGGACTGCCGCCTCTTCCAACAAACCCACCTTCGAGACAAGAGTTCGTGCCCACAGAACGTCTAACACAAGAACGCATGGACGCTCTTTTGAGAACAATACCGGAGGGGTTTCTGACGTCCACAGAGGTAGATCTCATGGCGTATATCGTGGACGAATGCCAGCGCGCGATTGCGTGGACCGACGCGGAGCGAGGTACGTTCTCCCGCGAATATTTTCCTGATTACGAGATGCCCGTTATAGAACATACACCATGGGTACGAGCGCCGATTCCAGTCCCTAAAGCCATCGAGGAAAGGTAAGGGAAATGCTTCGCAAACAGATGGATGCCGGGAAATACGAGTATTCGTCGGCATCATACCGATCGTCGACGTTTACAGTCGAAAAGAAGACAGGCGACCTGCGGAATGTACACAATCTGAAGGACTTGAATGGGGTAACAATTCGCGACTCAGCATTACCTCCGCGGCCAGATGAGTTTGCGGAAAGCTTCGTGGGTTATGTGATTTACCTTTTAGCTGATTTGTTTTCCGGGTTCGATGCGAGAATCCTGGCAGAAATATCAAGGGATCTGACTACGTTTCACTCTTTGGTGGGTCCTCTACGGTTGACCTGTCTGCCGCAGGGATATACGAACTCGATGCAAGAATTTCAACGCTGCACAACGCATGTGTTGGGCGACATGTCTCCGGACAAAGCGCAGGTATTTGTTGACGACATGGCTGCTCATGGACCTAGCTCTAGATATAATGATGAAACTATTCCTGAGAACCCGGGGATACGAAGGTTTGTCTGGGAGTATGCTCACGTAGTGTACGAACTATTCTACAGGCTAGAACAAGCTGGGATAACAGCGTCTGGTAAGAAGATTGTGCTTGCTACACCTGCTCTTGACATTCTAGGAGCAATCGCATCGGAGGAAGGACTCAAGCTACATCATGGACTCGTCAATAAGGTATTGAAATGGATGTATCCCACTAATGTGTCAGAGGTCCGCGGATTTCTAGGAACAGCTGGTGTCGGACGCAAATGGATCAAGGGTTTCTCCTTAATTGCGCGTCCACTGACAGTGCTTACCAGGAGATCGGAAGGAGAGTTTGTATTCAATGACGAGGCAAGACGCGCCATGGACGAGCTCAAACGTCTGGTGACAGAAGTACCGGTGCGGAAGTCCATTGATTATGAATTGGCTAGGTTAATTACACAGGGGGCGCGAGCGTCGAACCACGGACTTGTGGCCTTGGCAGTAGACTCCTCGATATACGGCGCAGGATGGGTACTCTATCAATACGTGCACATGGACAAACACCCCGTGCTTTTCGGGTCGTGCACGTTCAATCAGACGGAATCGCGCTATTCGCAGCCAAAAATAGAGTTGTATGGCGTGTTCAGGGCGATTAAGGAGGTACGTCATAGGATATGGGGCTTACATTTCCGTTTGGAGGTAGACGCCAAGTATTTGAAACAAATGATATATGAACCGGACTTACCGAATGCGCCGATGACTCGATGGGTGTCATACATTCAACTCTTCGATTTTGAACTAGAACATGTTCCGGCGAACAAACATGCTGCAGCGGATGGCTTGTCAAGGCGTCCCCGGTCAGCTGATGATTCAGACGAGTCAGATGGGGAACAAGAGCTAGAACATTTATTGGGTCATGGATGGTACGCGATAGGGAGCGAAATCCGCCACTCACTCTTTCTACAGTTGTTACCAGACCTTAAGATGAGCGGGGGTTTAATGGGGTTTGACGCTGAACAAGGTCGGTATAACAGCTCGATTGGATGCAGGATGGTGGTCGAGATGGGTGAGTTTGAAAGCGCAAGGGCCGACAGAATCAGCAGACGCAGCGCAGCAGCGAGGAATGCATCAGCGGAGGTAAGGGTTTTCGATATTAACGTGGTAGGTGGGGGTTATGCAGCATGGACGGTTGCGACTTGGGGAATGGAAGACACGAAAGCAGATGAGGTGGCCTCCTCGATGTTGTGCACTCTGTTGCGCATGGAAGACGACGTGTCGTATATTGGGAATGAGTTCCAGGTGCGTAAAGTTCCCCGTGAGCGGACTGATCAATTTCTGTTTGCAGGGGAGTTAGTGACACTTGAATACACAAGCTGGCGACCTGCCTGGGCGACA